TAATATATTTTGGCTAAAACAAAACATAGCAAAATGCAATAGGGGTCCCAGTGTAACCTTGGTTCTACAACTCTTAGTTCTATGAAAGATGGGCTCAACCCTGGGGATGAAAGGAATAAACAAAAACGATAGAAACTGGAACTTGGGAAATAAGGTTGAGGATATAAACTATGAAAGCAAGGTCTTTTACTCATGTTCAATGCTATATTCCCAATCCCAAGAATGATGCTTAATGAGTATTTGCTAAAATGAATGAATGAATGAATGAATACACAAATGAATGAATAACAGGAAACTGAAAAACACAAAGATGAATGGGATAGTCCCTGAAAGTCTCCCTTAGAACTGAAGTTTGGGAACTGTTGGCTGAGACTAACTGATTTATCATAAAATTCATTTAGTAAGTTTGACTAGAAATATCTTGGTAAGGAGAAATATACTTTTGTGAAACTCTTACCTCAGATACACATCAAGAATTATAATATAAAATCTATTTCTTTACTGGTAAACAAATAAAAAGTTGCATGAAAATGTTTCACCTGGGGTATTAAAACAGGTTTCCAGTCCTAAAAAAAGTTCTTGGATGAGAATCTCAGGAATCTTGAACTTTGAACAAGTTCCCTTGGAGATTCTGGTATACTCTGAACTTTAGTCTCCACTCTGAGAACCTTTGTTCGGACTGGAATTTCAAACAGTCTAACAGCCATGGAAGAGCTGATCAACAAATTAAGTCAACCACAGTTTCCAGAACATCACCTGTTTAAAGGGCAGAGAATAGGCACTGAATGATCATAAATAAAATGTGACTGTCTGCTTTCCACGTATTACTGGCCTCATTGCTAGGCTGCTTCCTTCCAAGTCTTCCATTGCTCACCCCAGGGCAAATCATACCTATGCTGGTACAGCAGGCCCCACAGCGCTAATCTTTCAAAGTAAACAGATAAAAAAGATTTTGCTGCCAGATGTGAGGCTAGATTGGAGCTTGCAGGGAAAGACTGCTTAGCAAAAAACTAACAAAAACTCACACCCAGGCCAGTCATCAGATCTGTATGTATAGTAGGCATGGCCCATCCTACCACAATTCTGGCAGAGCTGTCAGCCACCTGTCCTGACAACTGGAGGCAAAACTTCCTGGAATGAGGACACAGCTATCCTCAAGGCCTAGGTTTATGGAGGCTTACTAGGAATTCTCTACACCAGCTGCCTCTCATTCTGCATCACTGGACACCTTCCTGCCTCCCTCCGCAGCAATTAATCAATATACATGTATGTAAATCATGGACACATAAACGTACACTACTGTTTTCTGTCTCCTGTAGCTTCCTCTCCTATACCTCTTTCTTAGTTACTAAAAAACAAAGGTCACTTCTTTTCTTAAGTCAACTTTAAAATCTAGACTTATTATTGGCCCTATTTCAGCTCTTCTTTTTCCCTGGAACTTTCACTGTTGTTCAAGGTAAGGAAGATGGTCCATATCTATCTGAATGGGAACTCAATCACTTTTGTACCACCGAATTCCTCTCTGACACCCTGGAACAGTGATGGCAAACCTTTTAGATTTCGGTGACACACACAGCCTGCTGAGTCACGCCTGCCATAGGTCTGTCGCCACTCTCCTACAGCACTTACTGTCTGAGCTACCCCTCTGTTAGTGGTCTTAGTAGAAGCCACATATTTTCCAGAGTGAGCTGCTCTTAAATTTTTTCTCTCTAACTTGATCTGCAAATTTCTAGGACAGAAAAACCATTCCCTATATTTCTATCTGGTTACCATACTGCCTTGCTTTAAAGAAAAGTCTTTTTTACTTAATTTGTGTATGTGTGAATGTGGAAAGATATACAGCAATCACACTTCATGTCGAAAACTCCTGACACAAGACAACTTAATTGAAATCTGTTCATCTTAGCAGAAGTAAGTGTCTTTCACCATATTTGGTTGGTCAAACACCAAACTTCCAGTGCCATATGCCAGTTGCTTAAAACAGGAGTGACATTAAATTTTAAAGAAAAAGACGTCTATCGGGGCATGGTGGCGTATGTCTGGAATCCCAGCCCTCAGGAGGCTGAAGTAACAGGATTATCATGAGTTCAAGGCTAGCCTGGATTACACAGTGAGTTCAAGCCTGGCTTGCATTAACATAGTGATAACCCATCTCAACAAAAACAAAAAAAGAAAACAAGTTCTACACTATCAGGGGCAGAGTAAGAGAATTATGGAGAAAAATAAAGTAGTCTTCCAAATGGATGTCAGATATTTGGACTTTTGTTTCTGTTCATAGTATTGAACTTAGGCGTCTTGTGTGATATGCAGTGAGCTACAAACACAGGCCTCTTTTGACTAATATTAACTGGGTTTACTTGATGAGTGTTATATCTCAGCAACATGCTAAGAGGTTTATACAATCTCTAGCTCTCTCAGCCACTTATAAAGTGGGGAGTATTACTTCATTTCATAGGAAAAGAAACTAAGGTTGAGAGAGAAAGGGTGCTTAAATAACTTTCCAAGGTAGACAAAGAACAGATTAAGGATTCAAATTCAGATTTGCCTAACCTCCCAATTCTCTATTGTTTCTCTGATTAATTCTTAATGTAGATCCCCATGTTGTCTATTGAAGTATCTTTTCTAGGGAGAAGAAAGCAATTTTTTTTAAAGCAAATACCCAGCCCATAAACCCTTCCACAGAAGAGGATGGAGAGGAGGACTTAAGAGATATACTTATTTACTTTGGCTCTACAGGACTTCCTGGTTTTTACTTTTTTTTTTTTTTTTTTTTTTTGGTACCAGAGATCGAACTCAGGATCTCAGGCTTGGTAGGCAGGCACTTAGGCCAGTGAGCTAAATCCCCAGCCTCTCTTTTTTACTTTTTGGACTTCATGTTTTTATAATCTGTCTTCTCCATCATTACTTACTGTCAGTCTCTGATTGCTTCTATAGACAATTTCAACAGCCTGCTCATTCTGTTGTCTCCAATGTTAATATCCCTAATTGACCACTATTTATCATCCTCACATTCCTCCAACAAGTTTCAAACTTCTCTCTGCCACTCACTACTGTTTCACTGCAGCACCAGGGTCTCCTTTTAAAGCGCTCAATCAGATCACATCACAACTTTGCTTAACACACTTCTAGAGCACTTGGGAGGCTGAGGCAGGACGATAGTTGCAAGTTTGAGACCATCCTGGGCTATAAAGTAAGCTCAAGGCCAGCCTGAACTGCATAGTGAGAGCCTGTCTCAAAAAGACAAAACAACGACAGCAAAAAAAAAAAAAAAACAAAAAAAACAAAGACCACCTCTAGTGGACTTGCCCCTACTCTAACTCATCCACTCCACTTTTGCTGCATGGCTTCCTTGTGTTCCTTAGGTAAACAGGTCTTTTTAAAACAAACAAACAAACAAACAAACAAAAAAAACCAATGAAAGCAATAATATGAAATTTCAAAAGAAGATAATAGGGGAATAACAGTAACATAATTATTTTAACTTATATGTGTGTGTGTGTGTGTGTGTGTGTATATATATATATGTATTTATTTATTTTTTTATTTTTTCTTTTCCCTTCCTTTTTTTTCCTTTTCCCGATCCCAGTTTCTCTTTACTTTCATACAGTTTCTTCCCATTTCACAATATCTAATACATTCTGGATCTTTTTTACTCTTTCCACTTCTTAGTATAGGGAAACAATTTGATGTTTATATATGTGAGTTTGATTTATTTCACTTATGAGCATGGTCTCCAGTTGCACCCATTTACCTATAAAAGTCTCTCCCTAAGGATCTTTTAAAGGCTATTCCTTTTGCCTGGGGCTTGTTCTACAAGATAAGAGGACAGCACATCCCCCAGTCTTCTATATGCCTCCTCAAAACCCTGTTTAAATCTGGAATCTATCTTTTCATTCTAGGACTCCAACTATCTTCTGGGTTGCTCTATTTTTATTTTTAGCCACAGCACTTAGTATTATGTTCTTGTATACTACATAAAATTATATTTTCCTATTCCACAAAAGTAGGAATGTTCACATTTGGCTCACTGTCCAGCTTCCTCACCTGCACAATGCCTAACAAATAGTATGCACTCAGCAAATATTTGCTGAACTACTGTTTCAAATACTAGCAAGAAAAACTGATCAAGTCAATACAGGGTGCCATGGCTTGTACGATGCTATGGCTTTGAGTAAGTACTCCATGGTTGTGATCCATTCAGAAGACATTCATTCATCAGACTGAGAAATCCAGAGGTTGGGCGCTATTTGTAAAGGCTAATATGTGGTTACATCTGTTTACATTTTAGACAATCTTTTCTACCTGTGGAGGATGACCCTGGGATAAGTAAGTCTGAAATAATTATGAGGCTATTGTACTACATTAGGCAAGAGATGATGAAGATTTAAGAAATATTTACTAGGTAAGAAGGAAAGATGTGATGACCGATCAGATGTTGAAGTATTCATTAGACATTGAGGTACTCAGACTGAATTAAGTTTTTGTTAGGTTACTGAACAGATTATGCCACAATAAGACAGAACATACCAGAAGCAGCCCATTTGAGAGCGGGCCGGTGAGACAAATCTTGTCCATTTTGATTAAGATTTGTTTTTGCAGTCCACTGACAAATAATTAATGTGGTTAGAACAGAAAGCTCACCCAGGGGCTCAAAGCAGCAGAGTATAAACAAAAATGATCTTTCAAGCAGATCACTTTTTACTTCCCATTTATCAGTGGCCCGAAGCTGGACTTTGGGCAGCCAGATTCCCTTCTAAAGAAAAACATACGAATGTTTTCTCACAGGGTTAAAAGTTTCAAGTTGATTGCACACTAAAAGATATAAACTACATATAACTCCAGCAGACTTCAATGATGGCTGGACCCATTTCATTGGAAAATAACTTCTAGACAGGGCGATTTAAAAAGCAACCCATCCTAAAGATCCTCTAACAAAGATTTAACAACAAAGTAGTTCAGTCCACCCCTACATAACTGACAATGTTATCCTCATACTTTACCTGGAAAGTTCTCTCGATTGAGCTTAGGCCTGCGGATGATCACAAAATCTTTATCATTTCCTTTACTTTTCAGCCTTTTCCGTGGGGGGCTCTGTGGGTGGCCCACGTTTGGGAGCAGTTCCTGGGGAATGTTCTCACTGTCCACCTCCTCCTTCTCAAGGGCGGAGACCCCCATGCCTGACAACAGTTCAGAAGTCTTATTGGAATCCCATCCCCAGGTGAAGCTGGTGGTAACGTTGCTACTCTGGTCTGGAATCTCCTGGAGGTGCTTCCTGTGGAAAGGCCCAATATCATTCCTCTTTGAAAACCCAACCCTAAATAATTTTAAGGTAGGCATGAAAGAAGCAGCAAGTTATGCTTCGTAGACAACTTTAACTGCAATTAACAGAATTGTGTCTTTTATGTGCCCACTGCTAGCTAATTCCCAAGAATGAAAGAGGAAAGAGGAAACAGAAAACAGAGAAGAGAAAGAGACAGAGAGAGGGAAAGAAAAGAAAAGAAAAAAACAGAAAAGTCTTTTCTGATTTAAGATCATACAGAAGGCCTCCAGACTTTCTTTCCGTGGAGGAAACAAGGAAAGACTGAGTCACACAGTGATAGTAAACGGCAGTAGGAAAACCCAATTAGGGAAGCCAAACTAAATTGCATCTGACTCCCGCACTGAAACATCCATCAATCCGCACATTTCCCAAGGGGCTAAGCAATCATTCACTTAACAGCATTAATAACGATCTTAGTATGCAGCAATATCCGCGGCCTAAAAGAATTCAACAGGTCCAGCCACGGTCTGACTTCTTTGCAATCAACTTACCTGTGCATGGCGTCCACTGGGTCCGGAGTTTTAAATACGTGCATTAATTGCAGGACTGCCCGCCTCCTGGATTCCCGCTTTGGCGCGTAGCTGCTCCCAGCGTGCAGTTTTGGCCCCTAGCAGTCAGACCCGCGAACTGTAGCAACGTTCCATCCCTGCAGCGCGCGCAGAGCTCCTCGATCGGCTCTCCCTATGGTTGCCGTCCGTGCCTGCAGCTTGCTGGGAATTGTAGTTTCTTACCTTTAGCAGTTCCATAGGCTCGCTCCCACTTCCGGTACAAGCAGTTTTTGCCCGCCTTCCAAATACCCACAACCCCACGCGGCGCAGGGCTGGCCACCTCGCGGGGTAGGCGGGGAGACGGAAGTGGGCGGGGCTCCAATTGACTGGAAAATGTCAGCCGCTTGCCTGAGCGAGATTTTCTTTCCTGGGAGCCAGGAGGCCTTCTAGTGACCCCCACCGTCGTCTCCGCTGAGTGTGGGTCTCAAGTCCTGGACGGCTGTGGCGGACACGCAGTTTACTCGTCCCTTCCAGACGCTGTCTGGCGAGATCCGACGGTGAGCCCAAAGGGGTGGCGTCTGAGGCACGTTCGGGTCAGAGTCCCGGCCGAGTGCAGATTGAGATAGCGGGGGTCCGGGAGCGTGAGTGACCGCCGCCGCGAGGCCCACCTTCCTAGCCTCAGCCTTCCACAGGAGAGAAGCTACTAGCCCGGAGGATCACACCTAGTGATCCCTTTGCCGTAAAGCTGCTTCTGTTGGGGAGAGGCCGCCCTTAGGACGGCGTCGGTGGACAGGATCCTTCCCACATCTGTAAAATTGGCACGGCGACGAGGTACATCTCACAGGCTTGAAGTGAGGATCAAGTGAGATAATGAGTGTGAAAGCCTGTTGTAAGGTAAAGCGCAGTTCCAACGAAAAACGGTAGTTTATTTTTCGAGGAACCGGGGACCGCAGTGGGGAAGCAGTGTGTCCTCCTGCAGTCTTAACAAGCCTTGTACGTGCTAGCAAGGGAATAAATAAGATGTTGTAAAGGGCTTTGCCAGGCAAGCAAGACGCCACCAGCGCTGCCATTTGGATATACTGGCTCAAGCGACTATATTCGTTTGCTTGGCCCCCTAAAAACAAGCTGCATTTAGCTTATCTCTGATTGGAAGAGGATGGGGGCGGTTAGAGTAGGTAGCATGCCATATTCCAGGCAAGGATGACCATGCGAAATCCACTGTGCAAAGTGTATTGCAACTGTGATTCTAGGAAAACAGTGGGAGCCAGAACGAGGTCGAATTCTAACTCTAACAAAAACGAAAAAGATTTATAATGTTTAGAAGTAAGCTCCATCACAAACATAGTAGAATATTAATTCAGTGTACTGTATGATAGACTCTTGTGTTTCTGTGCAAACAAACTTACTTGCTTTACTCTGAAATTAAATCTCCCTTGCCCAGGTGTGTGCTTCTTTCAAAGCTTAGTGGTTGGTTGGCTTGAAAAGTAACTATCTCTTGGCAGAGGAAGGAATTATGTACCTTTAATTTACCCTTGAAAGCAATGATTGATATAAAGAGATTCGTTAATAAATTGATTTTGGTTGATATGAGGCTAAGAATATCAGATTGAGTTCAAGATTCATTAAACTAATATTAACGTATGGAAGATATTTTAAAATGCAGCCCCCACTATATATGTATTCAGTAGTCTCATTTTTGAAAATCGACTATAACAGGGGGAATTCTATTTACATCAAAGAGCAATGTGCTTTTTAATTTAATTCCGTCATATCATGAAGTAAATTTTAAAACTCTTTTAGTTTTTTTTTTCTTATTTAGGATTTCATAGCAACAAGGTTTCATCTGCTAGTTAAAATTGCAGTCATTTCCCTTGATTAGTCTTAAAGCAGATTTTTATTTCTCATCGATTTAATGCTCCGTGATACATGGGACAAGAACAAAAAGCCCTAATTTGCTATATGCTTTCTACATATCCCATATGGATTATAGTCATGTATTAGCTTACATTAATTGGTGCCACTGTTGCATGTAAAGTGAAAAGTTTAATTCTATATGGCTTTTTTTGGCTTTGGTTGGTGTGCCAGCTCAGCTCAGCTCTTAGATGGCTTCAAAAGCTTTCTCTTATTTTTCTTATTTTTAAATGGCTTTCTCTTATTTTTAAATGAGAGGGATAGTTTCTTGTGGTACTCTATATCATAAACTGAACTCGCTTTATGTCTGAAACCTTAAATACGAGAATAATGATCGTTTAAAGACATATTTGACTTTTTATTATTCAGTTCTAGTTCTGGTTATTTTTGTTTTTTATTATTAGGATCTTGAGTTGTCTCCTAATTTGTATCTATTATTTTATTATTTATTTTGTCACATATTTGAGTAAAGATAATTGTGTAAGTTAACAGTAAGTCTAATGACTTAGGTCCTTAGGAATGTTTGCTTTTGATAAAATTTTTGTCAGGTTTTTATTTGTGTTTTCATCAGTTGCTACCAGTTTTTGCTCTCTCTCTCCTTATAAGCATTAGAATTCCTCAAATTCCAAAATTAACCTCTGAAGTTTTCCTGAAAGAACTATTATCTGTCATTAAAAGCATTTGAAAATAATATTGAATAATATCTTGATTGGAAAAAGACTTAAGTTGGTTTTTGAATGTTTAAGGTTTTGGAACTGATATTTTAACTACACATCAGGCACTAAGATTTAATAGAATGAATTGACCTTTTGATTTTGAGTAAAATCAACTTTTCACTGCTTTGCTGTTAATTATACCCTTTGATAGCTGTAACACTCCATCCTGATACTCTTCTTTTGTTTTGTTTTCCTTTCTATTTGAGAATTGAACCCAGAAATTCACACAGGCAAGGCAAGTGGTTTACCTGAACTAAATACCCAGTCCTTTTAAAACTAAATTAAATTTTATTTTGAGACAGGGTCTTGATAAATTGCCCAGTGTGATGGTTAATCTTGATCACCAGGTTAATTGGCCTGAGAGCTACCTAGGAAACCAGTAAAGCATACTTTTGTGTCAGCTAGGGAGGTATGGCTTTAGGGACTAAATCTGGTCTCTGGTTCCTATCTTTTTGGGCTCTTCCCCGCTTCCTGCTTCCTAGATGGCCTGAGTTGATCAACTTTTCTCTGCCATACCTTTCTACCATGATGTCTGCTTTGGAGCCAGCTGACCAAGAACTAAAATCTCTGAAACTGTGAGATAAAATAACCCTCTCCTCCTTTAAGTTTGGTGTCAGGTATTTTGTGCTACCAATAGGAAAGTTGACCGGTATTACCAACATTGGCTCTTGAAATCTTCCTGCCTCAGCCTTCTTCGTAACTAGGATTGTAGGGACATGCTACCCTTCTTGGCTTTCCTGTCTTTTCTAATCACCTGGAACAAATTTTGATTTGCCTCTAAACTGTAGTATGATCTTGACCTTCTCCTTAAACGTATTGTAATATTTGAAGAGTAATATTAGTCAACTGTTGGGGTCAGAGACATATTTCTAATTTTGTCCTTGAAAATTTTTGTAAAGCTACAGATGCTTATAGTTTAGCAAATGGCCTGTGATAGTCCATCTGTGTTTTAATCATGCACCTAGAAGAATGACATTGTCTTTCTGTAATGCCATGAGTGTGTTAGGTATACCTTCTTGATATGGTTCTGAAATGTGTTCTGTTTTTTCAAAACAAACATGAAGGGATGTTTGGGCAACCTTGCAGACTGAGGAAGATTATCCTAGTTTGTTGAGAGAAGCATAGGAAACAATTGCTGTGAGCCTATATAACATTCTCATGTAGCAACAATGATGGGCCCAGACTATTGGAGCTACAGAGAATGAGAAGTAAACAATTGCTTTCTAGTCACAGTATTTTTTGAGGAGACAAGGAATAGACCAGTTAGGGGTAAAGGCATGCTGAGAGACCACTGAGGCAACCAGATATTTTCTACAAGTTGTATGGCAGCAGAGATTAGCACTGGCATTTATTGAAGATGTACATTGCCTGAAACTTCTACTTTGTGTATTATTTGATCATAGCAACCTATCTAAGGTGTTTTCCTCCTTTCGCAGCCTGCCTTGCATAAAAGTTACATAATTATGAAATAGAGTTGGAATTTGGAGCCTAGGTTTGCTAAGGTGTAATATTTTTAAAAAGTTGTCATTTTAGGCATTTAACATCTGGCAAAACTTTTCATTTTCTTTGCATTTTATCTACATATTACTATGCTGTTTTAAAAACAATTTTAGAATTGTAAAATAATATAGATTAATTATTAAAAATTACATATGGAAGAAAACACAAAAAATTAGACATTATCTCTTTACTACAATGTGATAGCCGCTATGATACGTATATGTATATGTATATGTATATGTATATGTATATGTATATGTATATGTATATGCATATCTCCTTTTTCCTAGGCTGGGAGATCTGATGATCTCCTTTAATCACTGTCTGCAATAGAGTGTTGCTGTTAGGTAGTGTTTGATTTAAGCATAGACCCCCTGCTCTGTCAAGCATGGCTAAAATAGTAGAATTAGTAAGTTATAAAATCCTTAACTCTTTCTCAAAAAATCAGTGGGCAGCAATGGGATGGGACTGTTTAATACAAATATTTAAGTTCTGTGTCTTCAGAGTTAAATAATGCTATAGAGAAAAACAATACTGTAGATATATTTTTATTGCCATTTTAGCTTTTCTTGAAAAAAGTTACTTGTTGAGAAATTGCTTGGACAAAGAATACATAATTTTTGAAAGATTTTTTATATGTGTTGACAAATTGCTGCCCTTCTAGCAATGAGTTATTTAATAAGCTGGGCTTATTAAATTATTGGATTGTTCAGTTTTTATTATTAGAGTTTAACTGAAATTTCTGTAATAAATTCTAATTTAATTTCCAGATAACTAGATCAGAGAGAATAAGATACCCTTAGATTTCCACAGAAAACTTGCAGTTGAAATGGCCAGGACAGGCTACAGAATTCCTAAGAAATCTTAGAAGGTGCTATTCTGTTAACAATTATTCTTTTGAATTTAGTCAGAAGTTCGAAGATAGGCTTTAAAATGGTGACTGTCATTTCAGATTAAGGAAACCCTAATTTTTATCTCCATTTCATAATGTGGGTCTCACTTGTTTCATAGGAAGAAAACATTTGGTTAAAAGGAGAGAAGCAGATGATGAAGTAAACAGACTAACTCACAAGGTGGCCTCCCCTCATCTCTGGAACCAGTACATGCGATTAGGGTATCCAGGGAGTCTAGTGCTAAGATTCAAGCAATCTTAGCATGTTGAGAAACTAGAAATTAGAGATTCTTCTCTAGAGAGGAAAGCAATTTTGTGAGACTCTAAGAAAATTTAGTTGAACTGTAATAAATTTAAATTTATATAGGAAATACCTCTACATGATATATCATAAACAAAAATCACATTTAATAAACTATTTTCTTGCTATTTTATATTGTTGAACGTTTCTTTCCAGTCCTCTGTGTATTTTCATTCTTAAACACCAACAAATGAGGTTTACTATCTATCTCCTTATCCTGCTACATTTTTCCAGGCCCCCTTTAACCCTATTAAAATATTCAGGTTTTCATTCTTTTCATAACTAGTTTTCACAGGAGATGTTGTCAGTTTGAGGTATTTTTTTGATCTTTGTTTGGTTATATATGATCTTAATTCTCAGTGTTGACATATTAATCATTTAGAGCAAAACAAACTGGCCTACACTGACATAACGAAAATTGTATATTGAATTCAGTTAGTAAAGATAAATTGTTTTTCTTGGTAGAGTGATATCAAATAAACCACTTGCTGATGTCCATGTCATCAACATTTATACTTAAGAATATTTTTAAATGTATGATTATTCAGTGATTGTTTTTGCATATAAAAATAGGTAAAGTGACTAAAGAAAATGAGATTTATGTAGATAAATGGAAAAGTATAGCTGTGAGGCAGCAAAAAATAAGTTTTTGTTTTGTTTTGTTGGAGATAGAATCCTACTTTGTAGTTCAGGCTGTCCTTGACCTTGGCTGTGATGCTTCAGCCTCCCAAGTGCTAGGATTAAAGTGTACGCCACCATGTCAGCAAAAATAAGAATTTTTAAATCCTGAAAGTTGAATTGTTAGAAAAAAATAGCATAAAATGAAAATATTTTTTCAAAAAAAGAAAGATTAAATTATGGATTTCCAATATCTTAGGAAACTTTTATTTTGCTAAGTATCTAATTTCTAGAATCTTAATTTGCTAAGATTCTTAAATATGTAATTTCCTAGAGTAGTATATTTAAATTTTTTTTTTAAGGATTTAGAACAATGAGAAACTCCAGATGACACTGTATTAGAATTGTTCACATATGGAATTAAAAATGTCTTAATTTGTAATATTTTAAGAGTCGGTGTGACTTTTTTTCTGAAGGTACAATGTGAAATTTTTAAGATAAATTTTAAATGCTAAGATATAAGGACTTGACGTTAGGAATTATTCTTTTCATTTTATTCTCAGTCCATTGTAAAGCATGACAGTTTGCCCAATACCATTAAATGTATAGAAAATTCATTTTTTTGTTTGTTTTCAGTGAACAGATATGGTTCAGAACTGTACATGAATAACTTCAGTTACTCAGAGTGAATATTCAATAATGAGTGGTGCAGCTTTGGGACTCGAGATTATTTTTGTCTTTTTTCTGGCTTTATTTCTACTTCATCGATACGGAGACTTCAAGAAACAGCATAGACTTGTAATTGTTGGAACACTGCTTGCTTGGTACCTCTGCTTTCTTATTGTTTTCATACTGCCTCTGGATGTTAGTACGGTAAGAAGCAAAACTGATTTTCACAATTTTAGAAGCAATTGTAATTATATAATTTGTTTGAGATACACTATATCTCACTGAGCGACATTACATCAGGTTATGCTTATATTTTGAATTTAAGTGTTATTTTAAGAATTTGATCATTAAACAGCATAGACAAAAAGATAACATTAGGTAGGTAGATTTATAAACTACATTATCTCTTAAAAATTTAATAACTTGATTTTCATTTTTAACTATGATTGCTTTAGACAATATACAACCGGTGCAGGAATGCTGCTGCAAATTCAAGCCCTCCAGAGAGTAACAACAGTACAGGATCATATGCAACTATTGCTCCCGTTCCCAGGTATTTTGCTCTTTGTATTTTTTATTTATTGTTTTTACTTAATCCTATAAGAGAAAAATTGTTTAAAAACTGTTTTTATCACCCATATTTTTTACATTTATAAAAAAAATCTCTACTGATCCACTTTTATCCTTCACCAGTATTCTTTTTATGATATCATCTTCTGTTTAAATCTAAACTAAATATTTGTTGATACACTGTAGATGGTAGTAAAAAAACTCAGAGGAGTCTTGATTTTTTTACTTCCAAGTTTGAGACTTCCAGAGTTTTTATTTCTTTGCAGCGGCTGTCTCATATCTAAAGAAACAGAGCATGAATATTTCTGGGTTTCAGCACCATGAACACATAAATTAAGTAGCATGCAGTTTTTTGTTTTTGATTTTTTGCCTCACTTACAAGGTTATTCTATATATGGGGTATTCCTTTTGTATTGTACATTCCTTAAAAGCATTGGTGTTTTAAACCAAGTGTGACTATAGTTCAAGTTGTCACAAGGTAATATTGAATTCATATCAAATGTCCAAGTAAGAAACTAATCTATGTTGATATAAAGTTTGGCCAATGCTTTAAGTAGTTTGCGTTTCTTTATGCAACTTTTAAAAAACCCTACATTGAATAATTTAAATTGCAGTTGTTCGTCCCCTTTGAAACACCATTAGAAATCGTTTATAGATCAGTTGAAATTATAGAATATTGTTAAATCCTTGGATTGAAGGATGTCCTTGCACCTAAAAGACTTATATGGAAGAATCTGTGGGCAGAGACTCATCAGAAAATTCAAACACAATTATGTGTGGATACTGGTGTACATCTGCATAAAATCTATCCTTAGGAGCTGGGGATTTAGCTCAGTTTCATAAGCACCTGCCTGGTGATGTGAGGTCATGAGTTCAATCCCTGGTACCAAAAAAAAAAAAATCCTATAGTGACTAATTTAATTAGCACTCCAATTTCTTGAACTTAATCACCTAATATCTTCTTCACTCCAACTCCCATTGCTACATAACAAAACAAAAGCAGAATAAAACTTCCTGGAAGGCTGAGACAGGAGGATCAAAAATTCAAGGCTAACTTCAGCTATAGAACTAGTTCAAGGCCTGCCTGGGCTACATAGTGAGATCCTGTTTGGAAAAAACAAAAACAAAACCAAAGAAAAACCTTAATGAACTGCACAAATAGGAAAGACTAGTCATTAAAGATTTGATTTAATCACATTTACTTTTGAAGACTGTTGCATTATTAGTCTATTAATTGACCATTCTTTTTACTCTTTGACTAAAAATACTCTGAAAGTTGAAGACTAAATGGCATTTCTCTTTAGAACAAATTGTTTTGTTTTCTTTGTATGTATGTATGGGTTTTTTAATTTAAGAGTCAGCTTTGCATTTTAAGTTTTCTATGATGTCTTATGACGCAAAGTCAGTAATTATTAATCTGATTATGTGTGCTGCACATAAATTAATTGTATGATTTATTTAAGTAATAATCACTTATGATTAATTGACTTTAAATTTTATTATACAGGCAACATCCATGTTTTAAGCCATGGAGTTACATTCCTGATGGAATCATGCCAGTTTTTTGGAGGGTAGTATATTGGACGTCACAATTTTTAACATGGTAGGTGACAGTGAAGGATAAAATTTTTTAAATTCTGGCTAACGTAAAAAGAGGAGGTTATTTTTCAATGAACCTTTGTATTTTACAATGTATTTTCCCCCTTTATATTGGTATCTTCTCCCTTTCTGCTAGCTCATATCTCCCCTTTTAAAAAGGGAGAGAGGGAAAGGAAAAGAAAAGAAAAATAAACAATTAGAAAACAGATTAAAAAAACAAAAAGTTTCCCTTATTATGGTTTCCTTCCAGTTATTGCCCTCTCTCTTGACCTTCAACAACTCTTTTTTCTAGTCCTTTTTTTCACATGCAAGGATTCTTGCCAAGGTCACCACTATTCCTTGATTTCTTCTACCTGCTAAATTAACATTCTGAATTTCCTTGATGGATGTTAAGCGTGATCATCCTGGGCAGTTTTAATCAGAGGCATGATTTTACTGGTCAATAATGCATCCCAAATTTTTCCATAGACCTATTATAGCTTCATCTTTCTGCTGTCTTTGCTGGTTCCATAGACATATTTACCCACTGCCTACTGAACATCTTTGAGATGCAGCTAAGTTTCAAACTGGGCTGAATATTGTAAAATTCAAATATTGTATTGTAAATTGTGTGTAAAAAAAATCATACAACAGTGTAAATGAGTTCCTCTGTAAATTCATGCTTACCATTTTCTACTGGACCCACAGCATTGCATTTCTTTCTTTGTTTCATTAATCGGTTTGCTATTCATTTCTTCATCAAACATCTCCAGTCACTTAAAATTTCTATCCTTTTCATGGCTTTTTTCTCCCACTAAAGTCACCTTCGCTCTTGGCATATGACTTTACTTTCTGTCTCACAGTGAAAATAGAAGTCTTCGGATGGCTGTTCTTTTAGCTTCTCACTAACAAATTACTTTCCTGTCCATCTTTTTTCTCTCTTCCCTTCCAAGGATGGAAGAATTATTTTTGCAAAGTTGCTCCCTCTTCTTGAATTGAGGACCCATATTCAGCTTTTGTCACCTACTTATAGCTTTTAGTTTTGAAAAAGTAATTACCTTACCCTTTAAAACAAGCAAGCAAACAAAAAAATCTCTCAACTCAAATCCCTTTCCAGCCTCTTGTTCATTTCACTACAATTAAAGGTTTTTTTGGAGATCTTACAACATTGAATTATATATTTCTACTGAAAAAGCCACAGATTGTGTTTAGTTTGACTTTTTTTTTTTTTTTTAAATACTGGAACTTGAACCCAGGGCCTTGAGTGTACTAGGCAAATGCTGTACCACTGAGGTACAACCCTAACTCCTTTTATTTTATGAGAAAGGGTTTTGTCCTGTTGCACCGGCTGGTTTCAAACTCTTGATTCCCTTTCTTGGCCTCCTAAGTAGCTGAGATTATGGGTGTGTGCTACTGTGCCCAGCTACTTAAATTTTTTTCAGAACGAATGTAAATAGGACATTAACAATGCTCTCAGAAGCTGTCTTCCTGCTCCTTCCTTGTCCCCACGGACAACCATGACTCTGGCTTCTATCACCATAAATTAATTTTGCTTGACTGTGACTTTTATAGACATAGAATTGTATGGTATATAATTTTTTTTCTTTTCTTTGCTTATAATATATTTGGGATATTTATCTGTTATATATATCAGTATTCTATTCTTTTTCTTTTCTGTAAGATACTCCATTTTAGGTGTATATAATAGTTTATCCTGCCTACCCAGCTATACTTAAAGGAACTCTCCCATACTTGGTGTCTCTATTTGCTCATTGTTTACTTGTTGCTCAACTCTTACTGCTCAGCTGTTTTTTCTGTATTGATGTCTACACTCACATATACCAGTTCTTTGTTTACTTGTTTACTTAGTTTACCTCTTGGCAGCATTTGATTCTGTTGTTTTCTCTTTCCAGTTTTAAACATTTCATTTTCCTGGTTTCTCTTCCACTTACTTTTTGGTTTTCTTCTTTGTTCCTTACTGTTCTCTGGCCTTCTTCACTGAATCCTTTTTCTCCTGTTTTTCTACATCTCTAAAAAGTTGATATTTTTCATTTGTTTCCTTCTTCATGCCACATATTCAGAGCTAATCTACTGATACTATTTTTGTACCATTTATGTGGATGATGATTCCAGAATCTGTTTGCATTTCTAGTCTTTCCTGACTGCAGCTGGATGCCCAACTACTTCTTCCCATTGCAACTCTTGTTGGATGTCTCTTAAGTTGGAGCACTAGGACTAACAATCAATCCCTCCTGTTTCTTTTGCTTTTTTAGACCTCATCTCACTGTGTAGCCCAGGCTGCCCTTGAATTCACTGTGTAGCCCGGGCTGGTCTTAGACTCCTGATCCTTTCACTTCAGTTTCCCAGGTGCTGGGATTCCAGGCGAGTGCCAGGATTACAGGACAGTTCCACCATGCCTGACTCTCCCTCCTGTTTTGTTATCATCACTTTCCTTAACCTCCCAACTAGTTGCAGTGTTGTTCTCTTTCAGTCCTTCTGAAATTTAATCATATATCCTTTCTATTAAAAAAGTTTCCTCATTCTTTGAATGCAGCTTGGATTCTTCATACGGCCTTTAAAGTCATATTTTTAGGCTTATCTGAAATCTTTCACATTGTTGTGTGCTGCTGATCCTTGTGGTCTCCTTTGCCCAAGAGTGTTTATTACTTTCTCTTGCCTGAGGCCTTTGTTTCCCCCAAATTTAATATTATAGAACTGGTCAATTATTGGTTCTGGTTTATGGTTTATTCACTGTTAACATGTAATTATTAATGAGAATTATCCATTAAAATTGAGATTCGTATATTTCTAGCATTCTGAGCTATACTGTTATCTTAGTTACTTTTTTGTCACTGGGACAAAATACATCCACAGTTTGAAGGAGGAGAGGTTTATTTTAGCTCGCAGTTTCAGAAGTCTCAGTGCTTGCATGGTATGCCAGCTTCAGGTAGAAGCAACATGGCAGAGGAAGACACCTGCTTCTGTCATTGCACCCATGAGTCAGAGGCAGAAGGAAGCCAGAAAGGAGATACACATTTTCAGGTCACATCCCTGGGGTCTGCTTTCCCCACACTAACAAACAGCAAGTCAGCTATAGCATCCCCATTGTCCAGTCCTCTTCCTAAGCCCCGCCTGTCTGTCTACATGTGAGGCTCTTGGGAGTTATCCAAATATAAACCAGAACAACAGATATATAATTACTTTGTTTTTCTAATTACATTTTTTCTGCCCATCTAGGATTCTGTTACCTTTTATGCAGTCATATGCAAGATCTGGAGGATTTTCCATCACTGGAAAGATAAAAACTGCACTGATTGAGAATGCAATCTACTATGGGACATATTTGCTAATTTTTGGAGCATTTTTAATTTATGTAGCTGTAAACCCACGTTTGCATTTAGAATGGTAAGAAAAGTAGTCTTCTTAATATTGTTTCTGTGTATATTTTTCCTTGAAATTCTTGTCTCATATATAAGAACACATTTTATCAAGGAACTTAGCAATTTATGTGTTTTATAGATTACTTCACAAAAATCTGAATAATTCTTATTACTAAGAAAGAAGATGCAGGATAACATCATTAAAAAGTAACTGTTAGGTACTGCACGTGGTGGCATATGCCTGTAATCCCAACATCCTGGGTGGCTGAGGCAGGAAGATCGTAAGTTCAAGTGAAGCCCTGGCAACTAAGTGATATAGCAAGACAATTTTAAAATAAAAAGAAAAAAATTAAAAATTTTCAAAAAGCATCAGTAACAGGTATGTTTTCTTTGAGAAAAATCTCTAGGCATTTTTTTTTAACATTAAGTACCCCCACATTCCAATTTTAACTGTAATAGAAGCAGTATTTTCTATGTCGAAGTCCATTTTTGAGTTATAGTGGTACCTAGTTCGTGAGTATAATTCTTTCTGTGACTCGGATGAAAACTGAATCAAATTCAATGGTTAGATTCAATGTTGGCCTTATGGAGAAATTTAATTTGGTTATCATCTAATTAAATTTGCAACCAGAATTGTTGAAAGAATTAAGTTCGTGAACCCTCTTTTTTTCCTTTAAAATACATTTGCTCTAACTGAAAATATGAATCTCAGTATTTGAAATTCTAAACTTTTCATATAAAATCCTACCCATCCTTTAAAGTGGTTTATTGAAAAGACACTTAATACTAGTAAGTTCTATTTTACTTTTTTGTAGGAAAATATGTTTATCACAGCTCTGTTTATGCTTTCTCTTAGGAACCAACTTCAGACAATTGGTATAGCTGCTGCCAATACGTGGGGTTTGTTTCTTCTCGTGTTGTTGTTGGGGTATGGCTTGGTGGAAATACCTCGGTCATACTGGAATGGAGCAAAAAGAGGTTACCTACTTATGAAGACTTACTTTAAGGCAGCCAAACTGATGACAGAGAAAGCAGATGCAGAAGAGAATTTAGAAGATGTTATGGAGGTAGACGAATTTAAACTTCACAAGTGATAGTTACCATGTTGAATGTGTTTCCTTTTTGATACTGCTGGGTTTCTGTTAGCAAATCAAGTGGCTTCATCTACAAATTTGATGCTCATTCAGGATGATGTTCTACTGATAGTTCAGCCTATTGTCTTAGGTAATTCTTTTTTTAAACTGTGGTCTTGGGTGACCATACCAGGCAAGTACTTGGATTCTCTAGCAACTCTTGCAGAAAATGTTTTGAGGCAGCGTTGACCAAGATGAACTTCATGCTTCATCTGCCTCCGCCTACCTCTTAAGTAGCTTTATAAGCCACCATATTTGGCTTGGGGTAGCTTTAAGCAATGACCTCTTTTATTCTCAAGTATTTCCTAGATTAGGCAATAGATTATATGATTGCTCTAAATAGTGAAGTGAAGAAGTGGTCAGAGAACACTTTTCTCTGAAAGCTTAAGCTAGTCAATCCCACCAAATCTGGAAACATCTTTAAAGAACAATTTGTATGGATGTCTATATCACCAAAGTTTGTTTTCTATCTGTAAGGCACTTCATTTTATTCCCTTGTAAAATTCAATTGACTTAAAGAAACTTAACCACATTTTTCTGGAGTCTATGCTTTTGAAAGTATAAGTTTGAGTAATTATGTAAAAATACACAACAAATTATAAAACTTTTGCTGTATTAAGTAATAATTTGGTTTTACAAGTGATCATTATAGTCTCTTCACACTTTTGCTCTGGGGGAAAATATTTTGCTTTGGTAACGTTTGTTTCCAACTGAAAATCTCATTTTGAAAGCCTTTCATTCACGTGAGAATAAACTCCAACAGTTTTAAAAACCAATTTAGCTTATGTTTAGCTCTCTAGCCTTATCATAATCGAGGCCTCCATCCCCTTCATGTCTGCTCATTTTGGCTACTTAAACTTGCTAATGATGAAATGATAAACAATTCGGTATTATATATATTATTAATATATGTGCATTATAATTACTAATATGTTATACGTACTATGATCCTATCTTAATATTTACCTCACACTCAGCCTTACCTCCTTAAACTTGATAATGGTAATAATAATGACAGTATGTAGACTATGTACCTAAATTCTAAGCACTTTACGTATATGAATATATAATTGACACTTGAGTAATACAAAAGTTGTGGCCATTGACCCCTGTGCAGTCAAAACTCCATATAAATTTTGACTGCCCAACAACTTAACTACTAATAGCTTATAGTTAATCAGAAATTTTACTTGTATGATAAACAGCTGAGTAATATATTTTATGTTACATGTATTAAAGTTAACACATATTGCATATGTTATATACATTATACATGGCGAAAAATACCCTAGAATCAAGAAATCCTTTTTACCGACATAAAAAATTCACTTAAGCGAGAACCTTTTGATGTGGGATGTTCAGTATCACATGGTGTTTTTAATCAGATACCACACTTGAACTCACCACTCACAAAAAGAGGTAATTGTGAAATTATTATGGTAGTTCAGTAAGTTAGTTTTATGCAGTTATGACTTAATACTGTATATTTACATTGATTTACATTTCTCGACTTAATTATGTGTAGTAAGTAAATGTACTCATACGTTCTAATGAATTTTAATTTTATAATACATTTGTATGCTTTTTATGGTAGTAAATAACAAAATAGACTATTCACAAATATTTTATACAGTATTTACATGTATAATGTCTCACTTTTTAAATATTTCTATGCTGTGTGTTTGATTTGTAGGTTTGTATAAAGTTTGAAATTTTCAAAAAATGATATAGATGGACTTGTACATGTCAAAGCTATATTGTTCAGGGGTCAACTATATTTAATTCTCATATAGCTTTATAAAGAGATTTTTTTAAATGCCCATTTTATAAATGCAGCAGATAGGCACAGAGAGTTTAACTTTACTACATTTGTACAACTAGTAAGTCAAGAATCTAAACAGTGTAACACTACTTAATCCTTTAATAGGGATTAGCAAATTTTTCTATAAAGGACCAGATAGTAAATAGTTTAGACTTTCTGTGCCACAAGGTCTCTATTTTACTACTGTGTCGTAGCATGAAAGTGGTCATACACAATACATAAAGGAATGAGTATGCATGTATTTTAATTCAAGAACAGGAGGTGGACCAGCTTTGATCTGGTTTAATGACTCTTTTTCTTAACTATTGTACTTATTATTTCTCTTTCCTGTCTTTGAGCATGTTAGTCTCAAATTTTTGGAATGCTTTACTCTCTCTAGCTAATTTCTACTTCATTTTCAGGTTGTAACATAAATGAAAATTTTTCAAGGAAGCTTTTCCCCTAGGAAGCATCCTAGGGCTGCTGTAAGAAAAGTACTACAGACTTAATTAACAGATATTTATTGTCTCACATTTTTAGAGGCAAAAAGTACAGTATCAAGATATCAGGGTTGCTTTCTTCTGAGGACTAGGTGAAATCTTTCACATCTCTCCTAACGTCTAGCAACCTTTAGTATTCTTGACTTGCAGATCCAACCTTTGCTCTCTCTGTATTTCCTTGTGTCTTACATTCCTCTTCTTGAAAGACGACTTGCTATCAAGGGGCTATGAGCTCAACTTTACTGTGTTAATTATATCTATAACAACTATATTTCCAAATAAGATCAGATTTTGAGATCCTGGTGATGAGGACACCATCGTGAATTTTTAGGACACACAAAATTCAACTCATAGTATCTTTCCTGGTCTTCTCTACTCTTAGACTCTTAGGCACCCTGCAACCATTTTTAAATGAATGAGTAAATGAACAAATGGATGTATGCTGTGATTGCAAAACTTTCTGTTGACTTTTTAGTATTCTGTAAAATATAAAGAATTACTAGGCCAGGGATATAGCTCAGCAGCATAAGTGCCTGCCTGCCAAGCATGAGGTCATGAGTTTGATCCCCTGAACCAAGAAAAAAAATCTTGTTAAAATGTAAAGAATTACATGAGAAAACATTAATTCAAAACTGTAGGAGTAAACCTATAAATAGTATACTCACGTGTTTTCTCTGGCTTTTAATAAATGTTACTATCTCAAAAGATGATTGATATTTAATAATTTTTTATATGTTTGATATACTTAGAAATTTGAAATGTTTGAAGAAGGTTTTAGATATTTAAAATTTTATATTTGATAGATACTTATTGATAAAATTCTTTATTTTTATTTAGTTAAATTTATATTTAATTATAGATTTTAAAAGTTGCTATTCACTTGATTCAAATTTGAAGAATTTGAGTTTCACCAGGTTATTTAATATTCCTTTAACAAATATGTAAATTAATTTTATTGAGATCTGGATTTTTCTGGAAGCTTCAATGTCTGAATGAAATAGATGTTAAGACCTTAACCTCTCCCCATGAGTCAGCACCATTCGTGGATTAGGGACTGAGAGAACAAAGGACACCTTAGCCAGCAAACCCAGCTTGGGAACCAGTGCCATACATGGACCCTCACCAGACTGAGACAGCCAAATCCCAGTTCCCAGCCCCTTCTGGCATGTGGGCTGTACCATCCCACAACCAGCCCCCTACCTATCCCCATAAGTGGCCAGCTTATCCAGAGAAACACAGGCTGTGATGGTAGCTGTGGAGGTGAAATGCAATGGGATGCCTGTGATGCTTTGGTGTTTCACTAACATTGCAGGTGTAGTGCCAGTGGTCTGATCATGGGTTCAGAGGATAATGGTATGCTGGGTGACATGCAGGGGGGATCTCCTTCAGAGGGTTGCAGCCACTGTTGATTCCCTGTAATCTTGTTTTTAAGTCCTGTATCCTTTCCATTGTTTTTTTGGGTTGGGTTTTATTCTCGTTTGTTTTGTTTGATTATGTCAACTCTGATGGCCGGAGTAGCTATTTCAAAGATAGCAAGGTATATTACAGTAACCATTTTGGATTTACTATTGGCTTATTTTGAAGTCCTTTATTGCATTCATTGTCTTTGCTTTTGTTGTTTCTATTCTATTTCTGTTCTGTTTGATATTTACTATGTCTGAAGTTATCTGCAGTTATTTTGAAGACATCAAAAGGCATTATGTAACTATTGTTGATTTTGTAATGTTTTTAGGCCTGTATCTCTTACACTGGTTTGTTTTGATTGGTTTTATTCTGTTTTGTCCTCTTTAAAATAAATAAGGAAAATTTTTTTGAAAAAGAAATAGATGTTGTTATTAAGTAGAGTCCTCTAGTTGGGAATAAGATGTAGGAAATTAAGAACTGGCATTGGTCCTTCTATGCTATTTTTGTGTATTCAATTGGTTTAAACAGGTAGATTATTTTAAAAAATTTAGAGAAAATTTTCCCTGTAAACAAGAAACTGCTCTTCCTACTGGATATTTTGTAGCACATTCACGTGGATACCAGAATTTTTCCCTCTCCCTGCAAACAGTATCACCAAAAAAAAGTGCTGTTTCTCAGGTATGAGTTTTTTTATACGTGTACTTTAAGATAATTTGAATATGCAAAAACACACATTTGAGAAAATTTATTCATCATTTAACAAGTATTTATCTCCCTGCCATGTTAAGTACTAGCATTAGGATAGTAACTGTCTAAAGCAGAAAATTTTACACTCCCTTACAGCGTACGCTGAATGTGATGTGGAAAGTACAAAGGACATTTTCTAATATGGAGTGATTTCACATCTTCATAGTGATCAGAGGAGATGAAATATGACTTGAGTATTGAAGAATGCATTTTGATTGCTCATAGCATTCCAGTCAAATATTAGAAAGTTCTAAAGCCAAATTAAAGTGATCGTGAAGCCTTATAAGGGCCTTCAGTGTCAAATGGGAAAGTCCAGACTATTTTGAAAGTAATGAAAAATCACTGACATTTTCTAAACGAGGAAGAAATGTGATGCTGGTTTAGGACAATCAGTTTGATGGAGGTATATAGAATGTGCTATAGGAAAAAATGGTACAAAAGTGTGAATAAGTTAGTTTGAGAGAAAACTTAAAATACATTGG